ACAAACATACACCATTGAAGTGCTGTACAGTAGATTGGATACAGTGTTAAAATACTTTGTGTAAAAATACAGTAAGTCAGATTATATAAAAAAAACTGAAAGTTATTGTATAAAACAAGATAAAACTTAATTAATGTTATACAACATCGAATCGGTCATTGATTTTTTTTTTCATATGTTTTTATGGACCAACGACCGATTTGATGTTGTATAACATTAATTTTTATCTTGTGTTATACAACAACTTTCAGTTTTTTATGTAATCTGACTTATTGTATTTTTACACAAAGTATTTTAGCATTGTATCCAATCTATTGTACAGCAGTTCAATGGTGTATGTTTGTTGATATGTGTTTGCCTGATGATGGCCGTTAGTGGCTGAAACATGTAGCAAAGCCCTGATTTTTTCTATTTGTTGTGTTTTGACGGTCAATAAACAAGTTGTATAATGTTCTTGTCAGCATTACCATAGACAGATACATTTTGAAGGAATGGAAAAATGATTTCCTTCCCGAGTATCATGTTTCGTGTTACTGTGACTGTGAGCTAATCATGCACATAACCTGCTATAAGCAATATACTGTTGTCAAATAAATTATTCTAAACGCCTGTGGAGTATGACAGGTGCATTTCTGCACCCAGGGAAGTAATGTCGTTGTGTAATTCCTTACGTTCTTAGGTCTAGCCGAGTTTGAGGCTTATTTTCTGGATTTTATCATTAACTCCCAATACGTACCACTTGGGTGTAAAAAGTTTAGGCTTCATTAATAAATTAGTTTCGGCAAGAAAGTAGGCCTACATCAAGTAACGAAAGAATTCATGAACCACTGAAACAGCAATTGCAAGCTTGGATATCCATAAGAACCCGACAGCTGACGTGTTGTGTTAGCCGCTTGCCATTTTTATTAGTATTAGAGCGTTTGTATTGCCTTTTCATTCAGAAATGGTTACTGAAAGGCTGAAAACGTGTAAATCGCCTTGTAGGGCTTGTAGTTCATGTCCCGGAAGAATTAGTCACGTTTCGAGATTCCCAAACTTAATTATTCTGTTTGGATTAAGGAAGAATTGCTACAGCAGTAGAAGGGATCGACTTTATGCCTGTTTATACAAATGGCGATACAACTTACTGTAGATCTTATAATTATGGTGGAATGTTGCTTTGTTCAGCTTCTTACAAAATGTTGCTTAACATTCTTCCTTCACTGTTATCCGCACACGTAGACGGAATTGTTGGGATGATAAGTGAGGATTTCGATATAAATCAACAAGTGCAGTGCTAGAACAGGGGCTTTCTTCCGGCTAGGGCGCATCCACCTTGACATTCATCAAGTTATAGAGAAGAGGGCTAGCTTTTGTACGCGAAGATTGTTACTTTGAGTGCTAAAGTAATTCAGTTGCAGTAGCATGTCACAGGTCTCGCATCTATATCTCCCCTGTGGGCGTTTCGCCCCAAGAAGTTTGTACTGTGGCTTGTATTTTCTGGATTTCTTTAAATGTTTCTGCTAGTAAGATGTAAAATTTATCTTAGTTTGAACTCACTTTCAGTAGCCCGTAATAAAAACATTTTCCTCACCTTCTACCCACTATGTTAACAGCTGAAAACGTATTTCACTGTTAAGTGCAGTGCTTTGCCCGGGCAATCACGATGACGTATCGAATGGCCAGTTGTTACACTGGGCAAGGGACACGTCGTTAGAGTGTGTAATCACCTTTCCCTTGTTTTTTTTACATGAAAACCTTGTTAACAGATGACAAAATTTTAGGTCTTTTTACCAGGAAGGTGCGAACGTAAAGAAGACGACTAATAGAAACAGTACGAGTTCTAAAACATTTATATTGGCAACTGAGGAAGGTCCCCCTTCCCCGGAGGAAACTAATTAAGATAGGCCGCTGAAGCTCAAGACCGTCAGATGATTCCAGCTGAACAAAATTTGAATTAGTTCAAAATTTATTATGGATTAACAATACAAGAAGTCTGACCCTTTGCCATTTAATCGGGGAAATTTTAAAGATGATGACTTTCTAGCATCTTCAGTGATTGCCGACTTCAGTCAGGAGTGTCAGACAGCACGGATGGTTCGTTAAAGGTACAACAAAATGGGTTTTCAGAAAGTGGTGTCAGAAATTAGCTGTCAGCTAACAACAAATCGGAAGAAGCCCTAAATATTTGTGAAGACACGTGTTTCCAGAACGCCGTGTATGAAAATACTTCAGTCAGCGAGGCCATGTGTAAAACACCTATCTTCTGAAAGCCTTCGTCCGTATCCAAAATCATGAGAAAAGAAAAACAGTTACACGGAAATAAGCTCGGCTTAATTAGCACACGTGCCAAAATTGCTTTAGAAGCAGCAGGAGATGAAACGTAGAATGAAATGGATGTATATTTCAGGGAGGGCACTTGTGATAAGTAAATCGAAGAATAATATAAATAAAAAATCGAGAGGCATTTCTACAAAGCGAAGAAGCTAGGATTCTTCCATTTCAGACAGCGATGAAAATCGTGTAGGTATATCTTAAATGCCTGCAGCCATGTTCAACATGAAATCCGGGTGAGGACTGGGGGCAGTGCGTAAGTTGCACACCTGACGATCCTTTTCGTTCTGGTGTTCAGTGTAGATCAGCTTAGAAGCTTTGATGTGTTGTCAAGAGTTTTCAGATACTTGAAATTAATTTCTTATTTACATAATTGTTGTTTGGCATAGTACAGTTTTTTATTAACGCCCCAATTCTTCATTCTGTTTACTACGAGGGTAAGTCAATAAGTCAGTTACAAATGGATATAGAACTTAAACAAATAAGAGTACTGATTTGAAAAATGCTTTTATTTCTCAACATAATCTTCCTGTACATTGAGGCACTTGGCCCATCGTTTCACAAGTCCCTGAAAACCAGCAGCATAAAATTCTTTTGGCTACTGTCGGAACCAGGCGGTTACTTCCCTTTCTACAGCTTCATCGTCGGGAAAATGTTCAGCCGAAAGATGATGTTTAAGATGGCCGAACAAATGGAAGTCGCTTGGAGCAAGGCCGAGGCTATACGGAGGATGCTGGAGGACTTGCCACTTGAAATTTCGCAGCGTCTCATTTGTCTTGTTGGCAGTATAGGGACGCGCGTTGTCATGCAATAGCAGCACTCCTTTGGTGTGTGGTCGCTTTGTTGAATGGCCTTACGAAGTTTCCTGAGGATGTTACAGTAAGAGTCGGAATTTACGATTTGTCCTTGAGGCTGGAATGCGCTGAGCACAGTATGCCTTCGTGATCCCAGAAGACTGTGAGCATCATTTTCCTGGAGGATGGTGTCACCTTAAACCTTTTTTTTTGGCAGGCGACGCAGGATGTTTCCATTGCATTGACACGCGCTTTGTCTCGGGCTGGTAATGATGAACCCATGACTCGTCACCTGTGACAATTCGGGCTAGCATATCGTTGTAGCGATTGAGATGCTGTAATGCCAGACCTATTCTTTGCATTTTGTGTTGTGGGGTCAGCATGCGCGGCACCCATCGTGCACAGACTTTGTGAAAACCTAATCTGTCTTATATTATGAGGTAGGCCATGCCGTGTGAACAACCAATAGCAGTGGCTGTAGTGTCTATAGTTACCCTTCTCTCCGCTCGGATTAAGTCTTCAGCCCGTTGCACATTCGCCTCTGTGGCAATCTCTGTTGGCCGGCCGACGCGGTGTTCGTCTTAGATACGTGTCCGCCCTTCAGAGAACTTCTGCACCCGACTGTAAACAGCTTGACGTGACAGGCACTTCTCACCGTTGATGGGAAGCATTTCTTTATGAATATCCTTTGATTCCATACCTTTTGCCCACAAAAATCACAACGCAGCGCTGCTCGAGGGTTGTACACCCACTCAGAGGCGCCGCCATCTTGCAACTGCTGTTTCGCTTTTGTAAACATCGATTGTCTCGTGTCGAATGTCATCCAATTGCCACAGGACTAATGCTGCTATTTAGTGGCGATAGCATCAAGTGCCTCATTCAAACATATAGTACCCCACATCAATTTGTAACTTACTTATTGACTCACCTACGTATTATAGTGTGGTGCAAGAATTTTCCTATATCTTGTAACAGTTATTGTTATGAAAGGACGTCTATTAAATAAATATTCGTGAGAGAAAAACCATTAACAAGACTTTTGAGGTATGGTGTTTATATAGCTCAATAGTAGATACCCCTGTAACCCTGTGGCAGCAACCGTACAGTCAGTGTAGGAACTGGCCACCGCCTTCACTACTGCAGACTTCTTTTTCTCTGGAGCGTGATGACATCCCGCAGCACCAGTATATTGATGGCGTTTGAAGTAGTTTTAAGTTCTATGTCCAGAGACCACTTCGCTTTTGTGGCATGATGCTTGGACACATGACAGCCTTATCTGATAGGCCTGTACGTACACTTCTAGAACATTTTCATATTTCGATAAGAAGCCCATCGGAATTTCGGCGGTAAAGCAATATATACCACTAAAAGAGCCATAACTTTTTGTAACCCTTTTTTTTGTTTAATGAGAATGTGTCATATATTCAGGTTATAATACATCATTTCGCCAAATTTTGTTGTTAGAAGAAATCAGGGTGAAAGACGGGCGCTTTGGCTAGTTTTCTGTAACTTACAGTGTGATGGATGCCCTTTTTTCCCTTCTGTGACAATGCAGCCGAGGTCACAGCGTGAGACATAAAAATCAGGTACGAGTTGGATGTGTGACGTAAACCCACAGTACTAAATTGCACCTAAATATAGTGAGTAATTTTACATGCGGACGTTGGCTGCGCGTCATGCTTCCACTTCATGCACTGCGCACAGAAAATATACTTGCGTGAAATTAATGTAAAATCTAAAAAGGGGGGACCAAGTATGTCAAATTTTCGTTGCCTAATTCCAAGTCTAGAGGCGATTACCGTGGCAGAAAATGTTTGAAGTGCGTTTTCTGGAATAAAACCTAGCCTTGAAGTGTTGTTATTTTGTTGATCAAGTCACGTTTCCTGTTTGCAGGTTCTGCCCCCCACGACCCGTCAAAGGGCACTGCAAGTTTCGTGTTAACTTCGTCGCGAAAGAAATCCGGTAAGTACACTGCTGCTGCTTTCGTCATCCGCAACCTTCACAGACGGCCGTGAAGGTTGCGGGGTACGTCTTATATATCAGTATTACACGTCAGTTTCAAATTGCGTTTGATCAGACATACAGTTATGGCAGCATCGCCACTTTTAATATCATCCCCATCTGCACATGGTGTAAACGGTTCTGAAGCGTGCAGACGATCGAATGTGGCGGAATAACCGTTGTACCTGGCGTGGTTGAAATGCTGCTGTTAAGGTGTGGCCACACAGAGCGCTACGTACGCGACGCGCGCTACGTATGCTATGTTCGCTATACGAACAGAAAAATATCTCCCTTTATTGCCAATGTGACGGGCCACACAGACTTCCGTACGCTACGTACGCTGTGTTCCCCATGTTACCTGCGTCGCAGAGTGTACACAGCGTACGTAGCGCTCTGTGTGGCCGAACCTTTAGTGTATCTCTCGAACCAGTCGACGGGTTTACGTGAATCATTAACAGAGTTCAACTGATATGGGTGCCAGGTCATGAGGGTATTGCTGGGAATGAAACTGCAGATCAGCTGGCAAGAACAGGACCTGAACATCCGTTCATAGGACCTCAACCAGCTTGCGGCATCTCAGTTGGAGTTGCCAAGAAAGCGATCAGGGACTGGACAGATGGAAGTCACAAAAAAACACTGGAAATCCACAATTGGACTCAAACAGACAGAGGGATTTATATCAGGACCCTCTGCCAGAAGAATGAGAGACATGTTGAAATTAAACAGAGATCAACTAAGATTGGTGGAAGGATTACTTACTGGACACTGCCACCTAAAAGGGCACCTTTTCAAACTGGGACTGACAGACGACCCATCTTGCGAAAGGTGCCTATAAGAAGATGAATCAGCCTCACATATCGTATGGGTCATTCCATGTGAAATCATCCAGTTAGGTCGCTCGTCCATTAAAACAAATATTTTGTACACTTATTTCTACATATGTTCATACTTCAAAAATATTTAAAAAAAAATTTAATCCGCTCGGTTCTCCCGGTACAGCGTTTTGATAATGCGAAAAAAACGCGTTTTCGGCAGAAATTGAGGTTTGCGTTAACTTCTATATCTCGATACCTATTGAAGCTAGAGACGCCAATAGAAAACCAGTTTATTCCTCAATATATGGACTACAAATCATATTATTACAAGTTTTTACTCAACTCACTTCCTCTAAATCTAATTGAGCTTGAAACTTACCTATCGATTTTGGGAATAAAGCTATTTTTGACCTTCAAAAACCAATGGGAGGGTGAAAGTATCAGATCTGTGGGTTCTACCCTTTGTTGTTGCCTACATGAGGAATATAATTACATAGTTTGAACCCCGTAGCTATTTTCCAAAATTTTCCAGGAGCTTCCAAACTTTGCTTTGGGCCCAAAATTGGCCATTGTAACATCTGATATCTCCGTTGAGGAAGCTCCGACAATTTTGAAATTCATAACAAATAATGCTCTATTCTAGAGTAACTTGGAGATACAATTACAACTTTGATAGTCTACTAATAGTGAAGTTGTGGGCACTTTGAATTTTACCAAGAAGAAATCAATACCTCAACAATTGGCTTACCTGCATCCAATGGTATTAGTGGTTTTTTATTCGGAATAAAAGACGAGAGATTTATCTTTTGTCATTCCAAGCAGTAAGTACAGGCCTGAAAATGATTAAAATAGAGCATCATTTGCTACGAATTTCAAAATTTTCGGAGCTTCTCCACCGGAGATATGAGATGTTAAAAATGGACGATTTTGGGCACAGAGCAAAGTTTGGAAGCTCCTGGGAAATTGTGGAAAATAGATACAGGGTTCAAAATTACGTGATTATATTCCCCATGTAGGCCACAACAAAGGGTAGAACCCACAGATCTGATACTTTCCCCCTCACATTGGTTTTTGAAGGTCAAAAATAGATTTTCTCCCAAAATCGATAGGTAAGTTTCGAGCTTAATTAGACGTAGAGGAAGTGAGTTGAGTAAAAACTTATAATAACATGATCTGTAGTCCATATCTTGACGAACGAATTTATTTTTTATTGGAGTCTTTAGCTTCAATAGGTATCGAGACATAGAAGTTAACGCAAACCTCCAGTTCAGCCGAAAACGCGTTTTTCGCATTATAAAAACGGTTGTACTGGGAGAACAGAGCGGATTAAATTTTTTTAAAAATATTTTTGAAGTATAAAAATATGTAGAAATAAGTGTACAAGATACATTTTTTTTAAATGGTCGAGCGACCTGTCTGGATGACTTCACGTGGAATGACCCCTATGTAACTGTGAGGCAATAGCTTACCTAAGATTTCGCCACCTGGGTCAGTTCTTCATGGAACCAAGTGACTTTTATGACTCCCCCATAAATAAAGTCCTATATTTCATTCGAAGTGTAGGATTAATATAGGGTTAATCTAAAGGAGAAGCAAAATAGATCATTGAAGGTCGCAGAGCAAGGGTCGGATTTTATGGCCCACCCCTTACACACATACACATATACATACGTGTACTTAAATCGTGGCATGGACGTCATGCTTTGGAGGCAGTCACTTCCATCTTCAGGGCACTAATGCAACAAATGAGTTGGAGAGCCAGAATTATTGTGCTACAGCGTTTGTTGACGTTATTTTTCTGTACAACGTAAAGCACCAATATGGCAGTCCCTGCAGTTTATATTCAGCTTTCAACCAGGCACGTGACATTTCTGTGGAGTTCAGTATTGTCCATGCATACACTTGGAGGTTACATGAAGTGTAGAATGGTTTCAGACTTTGTGTCCAGATTCATCGTTACGGTAAATTCCATGTTATATTTTAGCCTGTTCTCCTTCTTTTGGAAAATAAGAGCAGGCTTATGAGAACACCTTACTGCCTGTGTGTATGTACACACGACATTAATGCAGTGTGCTGGGGCTCCATCATGCTGGAACCACATTTCATGATGGACTTCCAAAGGCACCACTTCCAGCAGCTCGGTAAGATCTCTTGGAGAAATGTTACGTTAATGTCACCAGTAAGCCACAGAGGTACCAGGTAAGAGGTAAGGGCGTCCTCCTTAACATTTCAGAGGTCCTAGGGCTTAAACGCAGCGTTTCCCGACATGGGTGTATTAACAAAATATGATCACATACATGGAACCCATCTCTCTACCATTGAGCGTTGTAACATGTATTTATTTACACTCTGTATATGTTCATGGATGGGAGATCAGGCCCTAGCAATTTCTCTCATTTGAGCCCTTTTTCTGGTGCTGTAACAGAATGCTAATTTTGTCTCGTCTGTTGCTGAGGTGTTCTGAATACTTACAAGCGACAGGACTCCTTGGAATTGGGGGGGGGGGCGTCAGGCCTGATGGTTGTCACACCATCGCAACACCTCCTTCACCAGCTCAGCATTTTCTCTTTTGCGGTACAGCCTTATTCCAACCTTGTCCATCTTTATTCGAGGAATTTTCTTAACCCTTGTCAAGACCAGCGGTAGGATTCCTTTTGTAGGGTGTAACACCATCGCAGTGCCACTGACATGGCAGAATATCAATGAGCAACAAAGAGGAACACCCGCGATGTTATCCTTTGGCAGCACGGGTAACTGCATTTGATGTCTCGTGCGAAACATTGGTTGAACGGATTCATGTTGGAGAGGTCACCGCTAGCAGGGAGAAGATGCTGCTCCCCGTGTTACTGAATTGACAGGGTTTCGGAGTGCTATCAGTATTCACCAAAACTGGTCCCTGTGCTCCCACATATTGTCGACCCAGGATTATCAGCACGCCACGCGCCATTCTTGTTTTACTTCCGGCGGAAGTTAAACCTGAGTGAGCACCATGGGCACTGTCTTGTGACGATACTGAGCCTGAAGATACAATACCTGGCCAGGGATGCACAAAGTGACAACAGATTCAGTGTCTGACTCATTGTAACTCCATTAATGTCACTACACGGCCTGTTACAGGGATAGCTTTACTTTTACTTGCCCCGACGATACTAGGTGATCCGTATAATCACCAAGTTACTCTATTATATTTAAGCATCCTGTTGCACTCCATATGATAAATGATATAATGATACAAATTCCGTCCCAAGTGCAAACAATATATTATGTGTCCTTGATCTTGTTCACCTACACTACATGTTTCGGCCTCAAACGGCCATCATCAGGTGTATAACACTCACGTCGCTGTCACACTGCACTCAGCCCAAAATTTAACATTTAAAACACTTTCCTTGTTATTATCAACATCTACTTCGTTGATATCTGTCTGGATGTAGATTATTTTACACGTTAATTTTGACGTACCTGTAGTAGCACTATAAAATCTTTAGTTCTAATTTTAAAATCCTTTAAAAATTTTTTTTACTCTAATTTTAAATTTAAAATTGTTAGGGTTACTCGCCCTATGTCTAAAGTGCTGCAGCGGCTAGTTCTTGTTTCCTCACTGTATAGGTGTTATCCTGTGTAGTCTTCCTGTGTGCGTGCCGCTGCTATTCTTTACTACGTGTGAATACACGTAGTAGTACACACACACACGTAGTAAAGAATAGCAGCGGCACGCACACAGGAAGACTACACAGGATAACACCTATACAGTGTGGAAACAAGAACTAGCCGCTGCAGCACTTTAGACATAGGGCGAGTAACCCTAACAATTTTAAATTTAAAATTAGAGTAAAAAAAATTTTTAAAGGATTTTAAAATTAGAACTAAAGATTTTATAGTGCTACTACAGGTACGTCAAAATTAACGTGTAAAATAATCTACATCCAGACAGATATCAACGAAGTAGATGTTGATAATAACAAGGAAAGTGTTTTAAATGTTAAATTTTGGGCTGAGTGCAGTGTGACAGCGACGTGAGTGTTATACACCTGATGATGGCCGTTTGAGGCCGAAACATGTAGTGTAGGTGAACAAGATCAAGGACACATAATATATTGTTTGCACTTGGGACGGAATTTGTATCATTATATCATTTATCATATG